TCTGAAACTAAAAGTATAATTTTACTCTGTATAAAAGTAAAATTTTACTCTGAATAAGAGTAAAATGTTACACTCTGAAACTAAAAGTATAATTTTACTCTGTATAAAAGTAAAATTTTACTCTGAATAAGAGTAAAATGTTACACTCTGAAACTAAAAGTATAATTTTACTCTGTATAAAAGTAAAATTTTACTCTGAATAAGAGTAAAATGTTACACTCTGAAACTAAAAGTATAATTTTACTCTGTATAAAAGTAAAATTTTACTCTGAATAAGAGTAAAATGTTACACTCTGAAACTAAAAGTATAATTTTACTCTGTATAAAAGTAAAATTTTACTCTGAATAAGAGTAAAATGTTACACTCTGAAACTAAAAGTATAATTTTACTCTGTATAAAAGTAAAATTTTACTCTGAATAAGAGTAAAATGTTACACTCTGAAACTAAAAGTATAATTTTACTCTGTATAAAAGTAAAATTTTACTCTGAATAAGAGTAAAATGTTACACTCTGAAACTAAAAGTATAATTTTACTCTGTATAAAAGTAAAATTTTACTCTGAAAAACTAGTAAAATGTTAGACTATACACAAAAGTAAAATTTTACTCTGTATAAAAGTAAAATTTTACTTTGAAAAATGAGTAAACTGTGAGACTCTGAAACTAAAAGTAAAATTTTACTCTAGTAAAATTTTACTCTGAAAAACGAGTAAACTATGAGACTCTGAAGCTAAAAGTAAAATGTTACTCTACACAAAAGTAAAAAAGCGAAGGCAATGTTTGTGGTGGCTAAAGGTGTTTGGCAATGACCACCTCTGGTTCTATTGCTCTGTTTTTTGTTTGAGAGAATTAGAGTAAAATTTTACTCTCATTATCTGAAACAAAAAACAGAGCAATAGAACCAGAGTAAAATTTCACTCTAGTTCTATCAAATGAAATTAGATCAAAAACAACAAAAATAAATAATCATAACAAAAAAATAAAAAACAAAAACAAAACAAATTAATTAACAAATCAACATATTTAATTAAGAAGAAAAACTTCAAAAACTCGATCAACAATCACAAATCTCAATGAAAAGAATACATGTGTTCAACAACACTCATACACACACATATATATATATATTCTTGTTCTTCTTACAGCCGTAGAGAAATCCAGAGACTACGCGAACTCTGTGCTGCGGATTGGGATAGAACTTTCGTCACAAGTTCAGTTGTCGTTTTCTTCACTATTTCACCACATCAAACTCCAAACCTTTCACCACATTAGCATCGTAACCGTATTCAAACTCCGGCCTCACCTCCATCGAAGCATTCTTCACGTCGACACCGCCGTACGCAACAGCATAACCTCGAGAAGCCGACGGGGATTGAAGCTGCTGTCAACTAGGTCGTCATCTTCAACGTTACCTTTGCTGCTGAATCGAAAATCTAGATCTGTCGTTGCTTCTGCTCAACTGTGAGATCTAAATATGTTGGTTCCAGATCTAGATCCATCACCACTACCGGGCGTGAAATCTGTGATGTCCGTCGCTGATCTTGGTAGAGCGGATGAAGAGAGAGACGGAGAAGGTGAGAAGATCTAGTTGAGAGGTATAATAGTCTGATAAAATATTTAAATAATAAATTTTGTCATTTATGCAAGACTTTATAATTATGAAGGGGTTTAGAAAGTATAATTTTTTTCTTAGTCCTTTTAACAATGAAAGGAAGGTAAAGGGGGTTTATAGCTAAATTTCTCAATTTAAAATGACACATATAATTTAGATAGTATTTTGTTTACTAGAATGAAGTGGAACAGAATGATCTTTTTATCAAAATTTTCATTCTCATTTTAATGAGAGTAAAAAAAATAATGACAAATACATTACAAATAAAATTATCTTTTACTATTTTAAGGGAATAATCATGGGAAAAATACAAATCAGTTGTACTTTAAAAAAAATAATTACTAACACATGAAAAAGTTTATATACTTAATAATTAAAATATGTAAAATTTATCATTAATCTGAAATTTTTTAATACCCATTGATATGTTATTCCTCCAATAATCATTCTATGAAAAAACATAAAAAATTACCATCATATCTCACTCTAATAAATCAAATTGAGCATTATTAAGGCAAGTATATTGAGTGCTCTTAGAGTATGTTCATGTGGTATTCTAGAGATATTAACATTTGATCTTGATGAACCCAGGAATGATGAGCAGGATTTGGTTGAGGAGAGGAGGATCCATCAGTAGATATGGTGGATGAGGACAAGGAAAAGTGCCATCAACATACCCAAAGAAGCTCGTGACCACGCAAAAATGGAGTGAGCTGTGTTTTCCAGTACAAGTAATTGGTGGAGGTGAGCTTGAGGGACATGAAGCAGAGGATAAGGTGGGGTTAGAAACAACAGTGGCCTCTGATACCATATCAGAAACGTAATTAATCAAAAGTTATTTACTAAAATTGACCACACAGAGCTTATGTTTATCCACATATATATAACATCAATTTACATGACTATAGATAAGTACAGAAAGGTGATAACCACTACCAAGATCATAACAAAATGTAACAAATATAAAATACAACTTTATCAGATTATGGAAGTATATCCAATATAATGTATGATGATTAATAAAAAGTTATAAATACATATATAGTGTTTCAAGATTACTTAATATTTTTTCTACAAAAGCTCAGAATTTTTCCAATTAGGGTTGTGTAGCCTCATCATAAATGACAAAGAATCATTTCCAATAGGGTCCGAGACAGGCCTCTTCACATTGGGGGTGTTGGATGCAGGAGAGGGGCCTCAAAATTTTGTAGCCGGTGCGCGTTTCGGCCCCCCTCCCTCTCTAGGCTCTCCAGCCGCCTGAGAATTTTTGTTTTAAATTATTTTTTTATAAAAAAAATATATAAAAAAATTAGAGAGAATGAGTTTATTTTTTATATTAAAATTTTTATTACTTTAGCATGTTTCCAAATAAAATCTTAGGATTGTTTTGAAAAGTTGGTTAAAAATTAGTTTTTTGATTTTTTTTAATTTTTTTAAAAAAAAATGTGTAAAAAAATAAAGAGGTGATGTAACTCAAAATAAATTAAAAGCTAACTTTTGACTTTTAGTTAAGTTCCCAAATTGAGCTTTAATTTGTATTCTATTTATTGAAGGATCATTCAAAAGTAGCTTGTTAGAGCATCTCCAACGGTAGTAGGCATTTTACCTATCTGAATATTATTATAAAGTATATATTTTATTTTGCCTATCAACTGTTTTATGTTTTACTCCAACCATGCTCTTTATTTTAGCTATTTATCCAAATACTATTAATCTTATAGAATGTCACGTCAACAACAAAGATGGAGGGAAATGATCCTAATGATTGAATACATTTTGCCTAGCGTTGAAGGCTAGCTACATGTACGGAAGTCAAATTTGAATATATTTTAAAATCCGTTAAGTTTTTAAATCAAGTTTAAACAATATATTAAATTATTTGAGTTCGATTCGTGTTTAGTCGATTAAAAACTCATTGGAGATTGACTTGTTTGAATAAATTTTGAAATTCGGTAAGTTTTTAAGTTAATCTTAAACAAAATACAATTTGACTCAACTCGGTTTCTTTGCGGCCTTATGCTATGCTAGGGTATATGCCTTATTATGTAGCTATTTGGCATGAAAGTTTGGGTGAGTTTGGGGTTATTTTACTCACAAAAAGAAAAAATAAGTTTTTTAGTCCCCAAGTTAAAAATGGTCACATCAATTCATAATTATTTTATTTTTTATCTTACAAAATTTATAAAATAAAATAAAATAAAAAAGTCAAAAAACTCATCGCAAATGAGGCTATTTTAGCTTGGGGCTAAAATAGCCAAAAAGTCAATTTACATACCAAACGAACCCAACGTGTTTTTTCAATAAATATTACAAATCTTTGTGGCAAATATTATATAATTTTCTAGTAGAATTAAGACAACTTGTGATATTTGAAGCAAGATTATAATTATTTATGATATAATCACGTATTTTTATGGTAATATTATTTTTTTTCTTCAAAATAATTTGAAATGTAATATTGCAGAGTAACATTTCAATGAAAAAACTATAACACTCCACCCAAAAAAACTAATTGTATCACACGTTGTTATAACTTCACTTTAAAAATCACAAATTATTGTGAAAAATTGCATAGATTCATAACATTCACCAAAAAATATTTATCAAGGTGCATACAATAAGCACCTCTAAGAGCACCTTCAACTTTTCATTTTTTTGGTTTTTTTTTTTATCAAATTTGTTTAACAATTTAGATTAAAAAGTTGATTTGATTTTAGTTCACCCTAAGGATGAGAATTCGATATTTTTAAACATATATAAATCTCAAAAATCTCCTTTAATCAATTATGGTAGAAAAAATTGATCTTCAATCCTTCAATCTTTTAACAATTTTATCAAATTTAAGTAAAAAATAAATTGTTAAAAATTTGATGACGTATTTAATGAAAGCTTGATTTGATACAAATTTAATAAATAAATTAGATATCATTTTTACTAAATTATTGGAGATGCTCTAAGACCATGTTTGTTTGGACGGACTAGATTAGGTTAGATTAACATTTCCATGACTAATAGTTCTAGGACTACAAATTCATTTGGATTGTATATCATATCCTATGTTTGGATTGAGTTAGGATTATAAGGAAGGATTAACAAAATATTATCCAATTCAATATTTGTTTAAGGGGATTGAAATGGATAGGACATGGACCATAATACCTTTATTATGGTCATTTGATAAGTTAGTCTAAACTTTGGCTTTAGTCTTCTAATTTATATCCCATCTCTATGTGGGATTGAATAGTCCATCATATGTGAGATACTATATTCGGATGAATTGTTAGTCCGTACTTCAATTTTTTAACCAAACATTAGATTAATAATTTTATTAGATTATTAGTCAAATCCCACACACATATCCGTCTAAACAAACATAGCCTAAGGGTACATATGGTAGAGTTTCCCTATAAATAATGCAGCCTGTTTCTCTGGTTTCCATCCAAGCCTCTCTCTTACATTTCATAGTTCTGTCAAAGATTGTCAACTTTAATGGAGTTTCATCTCCTTCTCCTCTCCATATTCGCAGTGCTTTCTGTAAGTATTTAAATTTGCAAATTCCTGAAATCAAACAAAGCGTTTTCTCAAAATTTTGTATCCATTTCTTATACATAGATAGACGGAATAAAAACACTATGGATTATGAAAATTTATCCTGAATCTTATTCCCAAAATGAATGTTTAGTATAAATATATATAGTTAGTGCAATTAGAGTCGCACTCATAATAAATGTAGATTATTAATTTGTTTTTCTAAATAATTTTTAGTAATTTTTTAAATATGCAATATTCTATATACATAAAATTCTTTTGTATGAGTAGAAGCTAGATTTGGAGCGTTTGAGTAGAATTTTTATTTTCACACTCTTGCTAACCCAAAATTTTTGTCAAGAACCATGGCAACCATATGTATATACATGTGTATGTATGAAATTTTAATAAAATATGGATTAGTTTTTGTGGGGATGTATTTTTTGTATACCAACACGTGGCATGGTGACACCGACGTGTCAGCCGAGGTGCCACGTGTTGTGGTAGTTATGCCGAGGTTATCTTGGCAAGGCCGAGGTTATCTCCGAAGATATCGGAATCCAAGATAAGCGGATAAGGGACATGAGTCCTAGAGAAAAGAGAAGACTTTACTAAAGATAAGGATAAAGCTCTTAGGGAGTTTATCTTTATCTCTTGAAGAGTCCAAAGTCAGTATTGAATTGGAGTCCATAGAAGTCAGGCTTCTAGTAGGACTTGGATTGAGTAAACTATAAAAGAGAGGCACCCCCGTGGGTCTAAAGTACACAGTTTTATACTCAAGCTTCTGAGTTTAGCACTTGATTATCTTTGAGAGATATACTAACTTGATCGTCGGAGTGCCCCCGGGTGGAAGAGCCACCGCCGGAGCCTTTTCTTTCTGTTACAGGTTTGCTGAAGCCATCTATTCTGCCGGTGCTCTCCAGCTAATTACTAGGCGGGCAGTGTGGTCAGAAAATTACCCACACAATTTGGCGCCGTCTGTGGGAATCTTAGAAGAATAGATGGCCAGTAACGGACAGAGGGAAAACATTGGGGGCGACACTCCTGCTGTGAGTGGCAGACCAATTGATCTTGACTTTGAAGGAGACAACCACAACACAGAAACTCATGGCCAAGGCCACGGAGAGAAAGACGTCGGCCAGGAGGGCAACACTTCAAAGAAGACAGACCAAGGCAAATACTATAACGAAGATAACCTTCAGGTATGGAGGGATAGGTGCCTACGGAGGGATGAGGAAGTAAAAGACTTGGCAAACAAGTTGGCGGACCTACAGTCGGTCGTCAATTTCATGAAGCAAAATAATGTCATGCAGCCACCATACCCGCTGCAGGACACGCCGATACCAGCAACCAATACCCAGAAGGGAGGAAGGACAACAATCCCCGAAGTCCCTCAGCACACCAGGAGCAGAAGGCACTCTCACCGACCTTCCAGGGAAGTCGAACGAGAGGAGCCGAGGCAAGAAGAGTCCCGAATGACACATCACATGAAGGATCCAGGGCCCAAAGAACATCGGCATGTTCAAGGGCAAGCACTCTGCTTTGACACAACCCATGGAGAAAGATCGAAACGGGCCTATCACGAGGCCGAAAGTAGTGTGCCAAAAAGATTGAAGTCCAGAGATAGCCGAGCTCCGGGTAGTAGTAAGGAAGACTTGAGGGATTACCTCAAAAGGAGGCAGCAGAATGTTGAAGCCGAAGTGACTTCCCCAGTTAAGCCGAGAACACCATTCTCGGTGGAACTGGACAAATTTGAAGCACCAAAGAGATTCAGTATGCCAAGGTTCCAAATTTATGATGGTAAGTCAGACCCCAACTTTCATGTTGGACTATACCTGAACTCAATGGCATTATACAGTGGGAACGAGCCGTTGTTCTGCAAAGTATTTCCCTCATCCTTTGGGGAAATTGCATCCGATTGGTTCCACAAGCTACCGAAGGGAAGCGTGAAGACGTGGGAAGGCCTGGCCGAGATATTTGTGGCCAGGTTTGTGACAAACAAACTACAGCCCTTGAGGGTCGACGCCTTGATGGCCTTAAGAATCACCAAGAAAGAAGGCCTTAGGGCCTACGCAAAGAGGTACTACGAGGTGTTCAATCGAATACCCGAATGTAACCAAGAAGTGGCGGTCGTGTCTTTCAAAAACGGCCTGAAAGATGACTGGCCACTACGGAAGTCTTTGGCAAAAACACTGCCAAAAAGTATGGAAGAACTCATGGCAAGAATCGAGAAGTACGCCAGAGCCGAGGAAGATACATCAGGAAACAAAGAGATAAAGTAGGAGAAGGGAAACGGCTCGCCGAAGCAAGGCTGAAGTAACAATGGGCCGACCAAACAAGAAACAGAATTGAAGGGTAAACAGGCAGTGACGACGGTGTTCCGAATCCTTATCCATAAAGTCCTGGATCAAATACAAAACCAACCCTATTTCAGGACACCGGCAAGAGCGCCAGGGGAATTTATGGGAAGAAACGTTGGTAGGTGCTGTGCTTACCACAATGAGGAAGGGCACCCAACTCAGGGTTGCAGAGCCCTAAAAAGCACACTTAGAAGACTTGGTAAGGCAAGGCCATCTGAGGGACCTTGTTGATGAGGCCAGGACAAGAGAAGAACAGGCAAGATTGCCTCAAGCACTTGCAGCTCCGCCTCTCCCAGCACAACAACCACAGGCAGGAGGACCAAGGGTGGTTAATGTGATCCACTCAAGGGTCAATGAGAACGAAGTCAGAGGAGAGACCCAGCGGGTAAGGTATTTACAGCATGTCTACCAAATCGGGGAAAAAAGACATCGACAAGTAGAGGGCCAAGGGCCAGTGATAGCCTTTACTAAAGCCGACCTGGAGTTGGTTCAACATCCGCATAATGATGCCTTGGTAGTATCCCTCCAGGTTGGGGAATGCCAAGTGAAACGCATCCTGATAGATCAAGGCAACTCTTGTGGCATCATGTATGTTAGATGTTACAAGGAGTTGGGCCTTCACCCAGACGACATGGAACAATCGAATGGCCCGATGGTCGGCTTCAACGGAACGCCGACATGGCCATTGGGCGCAACAAGCTTGGAAGTTCAAGCCGGCACGAAGAAAATCAAGACGAAATTCATTATGATTGATATACCCTCGCCGTACAATATCATCTTGGGAAGGCCATGGTTGCATGCAATGGGGCAGTTCCCTCAACGTTGCATCAACTGCTACGGTTCCCAACAGAACATGGCATTGAAGAAGTCAGAGGAGATCAACTGCAGGCAAAAAATTGCTCCATGGCAGCAATGAAGTCTACTTGCAGCATTCGAGAGCCAAAAGAGGCAGAGATTGAAGATGAGGACATGGAGGTCCTAGATGATGTCGGCAAGGAGCCAACCGAAAAGAGTGAAGAGACACTAAAGAAAATCCTTGTCCAGGAGGGCGACGAAGAACGCTTCTTTCTTCTCGGCTCAGGCTTAGCCGAAGAAGAGGAAAGAGAACTGGAAAATTTTCTAAGAACCAACATTAAGGTGTTCGCCTGGACACCTTACGAAATGCCTAGCATTGACCCCGAGGTCACTTGCCACAGACTGAATGTCGACAGGTCGGCAAAACCTGTGATTCAACGAGCCAGAAGACCGACGTTAATGCACGTCGAAGCAGTAGAAGAAGAAGTTGATAGACTTCTGGAGGCCAGGGCCATCCGAGAAGTCCACTACCCGACATGGCTGTCCAACACAGTAGTAGTGAAAAAAAGAACGGCAAATGGAGGGTTTGTGTAGACTTTACCAACCTCAACAAAGCCTGCCCCAAAGACAGCTTTCCTCTGCCCAAGATTGACCAGCTAGTAGATGCAACTTCAGGGCACGAAAGGATGAGTTTTTTGGATGCATACAGGGGGTACCACCAGATTGCCATATACCCTCCAAACGAGGAGAAGATCGCGTTCATCACCCCTAAAGGCCTGTACTATTACAAGGTAATGCCTTTTGGGTTGAAAAACGCAGGAGCAACCTACCAAAGGTTAGTAACAAAGATGTTCAAGCACCTGATTGGCAAAACGGTAGAAGTCTACATCGATGACATGGCCGTAAAGACCAGGGAATCTAAGAGTCATCTTGCCGACCTAAAAGAAGTCTTTGATATACTTAAAACATACTAGCTCCGACTCAACGCATCCAAGTGCGCGTTTAGAGTTGGATCAGGTAAGTTTTTAGGGTATCTGGTAACAAGAAAAGGCATTGAGGCCAGCCCAGACCAAATCAAGGCCATCCTAGAGCTGAAGAGCCCAACGTCGGCAAAACAGGTTCAGATGCTTACTGGAAGGGCCGTAGCCCTAAACAGATTCATCAGCAGAAGCTCAGATAAATGCAGACCCTTCTTCAACTTGGTGAAAAAAGCCACAGACTTTCTGTGGACAGAAGAATGCGAAGCCGCTTTAACCGACCTAAAGAAGTACTTGACCACACCTCCGGTTCTTTCCAATCCAGAACCAGGGGAAGAACTGTTTTTGTACTTGGCAGTTTCAGAACACGCAGTCAGTGCAGTACTAATCCGAGAAGAAAAGGGGGAGCAAAAGGCTGTTTATTATGTAAGTAAAACCTTGGCCGATGCAGAAACAAGGTATCTGCCACTGGAGAAATTAATGCTAGCCTTAGTAATGGCTTCAAAGAAGTTGAACCATTACTTTCAGGCGCACAAGATTGTGGTCTTAACAGAGCATCCACTGAAATCCTTGTTACAACAAGGAGACTTAACAGGAAGGATAGCAAGATGGGCCGTAGCCCTAGGTCAGTATGACCTGGAGTTCAGGCCAAGAACAACAGTTAAAGGCCAAGTTTTGGCCGACTTCGTGGCAGAATTCACCCCCAAAACCATCGAACATCGGGCTCCGTTGAGCCAGGATGAGCATTGTCCCAGCAAGCAAGGAGAATCCCAGCCAAAGGCAAAAGAGCAAAAGAAGGAAAAACTCAGACCCTACAGTATCTACATCGGCGACTCATTCAGACTATTCGTCGATGGAAGTTCGAACCGACAAAGAGCGGGGGCAGGAGTACTGCTGATATCTCCAGATGGAGAAATAATAGAACAGTCCATCCGTTTAGGGTTCAAGGCCTCAAATAATGAAGTAGAATACGAAGCATTAATTGCAGGGCTAAAACTGGCAGCAGCAGCAGAAGCAGATGAGGTAATAGTTTTTTGTGATTCACAACTTATTGTTAACCAGTCAATAGGTGAATTTGCAGCCAGGGACGAAAGAATGTCGGCATATGCAAAAGAGGTCATCAGATTGGCAGCCCTATTTCAGAACCGCCAACTACTCCAAGTTAGCCGAGATGACAACACCCACGCCGACGCGTTGGCTAACCTGGCAAGTTCAATGCAGACTGGAAAAACAAGAACGATTATGATCGACTATATGTCGGGCCCAAGCGTTGAACCAGAGAGCACAAAGCAGCAAGCAATGTGTGTGGACATGGGGCCAAGTTGGATGGATGCAATTGTTGCATTCCTGAAAGAAGGAAAGCTGCCAGAAGATCGTAAGGAGGCACACAAAGTCAGACTGAAATCGGCAAGATTCTGTCTGACAGAAGATGGACACCTCTACAGAAGGTCCTTCACTGGACCACTTTTAAGGTGCGTACACCCTTTGCAGGTTGAAGATTTCCTATATGAAATTCATGAAGGAATTTGTGGAAGCCATGCTGGGGGCAGATCATTAGCCCACAGAGCCATTACCCAGGGGTATTGGTGGCCCTACATGCAAAAGGATGCTGAAGTTTACGTGAAGAAGTGTGAACAATGCCAAAGGTTTGCACCTTTAATACATCAGCCAGCTGCTGACCAGAACCCAGTATCCAGCCCTTGGCCGTTTGCCCAATGGGGCATGGATCTTGTTGGGCAACTCCCCCAGGCAACTGGGTAGAGAAAATACTTGCTGGTAGCAACAGATTACTTTACGAAGTGGATAGAGGCAGAACCTCTTGCCAAAATCCGAGATGTGGACGTCAAGAACTTTATATGGAGAAACATCATCACCAGATTTGGCATTCCAAGAGCGATTGTTACCGACAACGGAACATAGTTTGACAGCAAACTCATCAAAAACTTTTGTGCGAAATTCAAGATCAAGAATTACTTTTCAACACCAAGTTTTCCCCAAAGTAATGGGCAAGCAGAAGCATCCAACAAAGTAATATTGGATGGAATAAAGAAGAGACTGCAGGCAGCAAAAGGGAAGTGGGTAGATGAGTTGCCCAACGTCCTTTGGGCATATCGGACTACGCCGAGAAGATCAACAGGGGAATCCCCCTTTGCCATGGCTTATGGCACAGAAGCAGTCATCCCATTGGAGATCGGCATCCCAGGAATCAGAACCCAGGGAGTAGAGAATGGCACCAATGACATACTCTTAGCCGGAGATCTGGATCTTTTGGAAGAACGAAGAGAGAAAGCTGCAATTCAGCTCGCAGTATACCAGCAACAGCTTGCCAGAACTTACAACAAGAAGGTCAATCCAAGAGATTTTCAAGTCGGCGACCTAGTCCTGAGAAAAGTCGTCGGCAACAAGAAAGATCCCAGAGAGGGCAAGCTTGGCCCAAACTGGGAAGGACCCTACAGAATTACTTCGGTATTAGGCAATGGAACTTATCGGCTAGAAGATAACGAGGGTAAAGCACTGCCAAGACCTTGGAACACTTGTAATTTGAAATTCTTCTATCATTAGATATGCAATATTTTTGGTCGATGTCATTAATAAAATTTTTTTCCTTTTCTTAAAACACATATATTTGATAAAGTTACATATTTGTGTTTTTGAAGACATGAATAATGAGAACCCAAGTAGAACTCAGGTTCACATTGGGGGCAGAGAGAAGACAGAGACACTTAATTCACTTGTTGAAATTTGTAGCAATTTACAAGTTGGAATTAAGCTGATTCCTTATCTTCACTTTTTGAAATTTGTAGCAATTTACAAGTCGAAGTTAAGCCGAGATTATTCCTTAATTCACTTGTTGAAATTTGTAGCAATTTACAAGTTGGAATTAAGCTGATTCCTTATCTTCACTTTTTGAAATTTGTAACAATTTACAAGTCGAAGCTAAGCCGAGATTATTCCTTAATTCACTTGTTGAAATTTGTAGCAATTTACAAGTTGAAATTAAACTGATTCCTTATCTTCACTTTTTGAAATTTGTAACAATTTACAAGTCGAAGTTAAGCCAAGATTATTCCTTAATTCACTTGTAGAAATTTATAGCAATTTACAAGTTGGAATTAAACTGATTCCTTATCTTTACTTTTTGAAATTTGTAGCAATTTACAAGTCGAAGTTAAGCCGAGATTATTCCTTAATTCACTTGTTGAAATTTGTAGCAATTTACAAGTTGGAATTAAGCTGATTTCTTATCATCACTTGTTGAAATTTGTAGCAATTTACAAGTCGAAGTTAAGCCGAGATTATTCCTTAATTCACTTGTTGAAATTTGTAGCAATTTACAAGATAATGTTAAGCCGACATGCGATCATCTATTGAAATTTGTAGCAATTTACAGGTTGAGGTAAAAAGCGAAGTATATTGTTAAAATTTGTAGCAATTTGCAAGCAGATCATTGTTATAACTTGAGAAAAATTTACAGTATATGTTAACACTTGTTGAAATTTGCAGCAATTTACAAGTAGGTTAGACCGAGATCACTGTTTAAATACTTGTTGAAACTTGAGAAAAAGTCTGCAAAGTGAACATTGAATAGTATATGTTTTACACTTGTTGAAACTTATGAAAAGTTCGCAGGCCAGTATCTTGCCGAAGTAAAAGTTTTGTAGTTATTATACCTGAAGTATATAAACCCGAGAAGATTGCACAAAGGTGGCAAGATATGAAAGACATACAAAATATTCTAAGTATAGAACCATGCAGAAGAAAATCAAGAGAAATTAAAAGATTACAGCATCCATAGAAAAACAGTTGCAATTGTATACAAAAGAAGGCACTACGGCCTACCAGAAGTAAATTGTTTCGAAGTAACAAAGAAAGGCACATCGGCCATGAGAGGAAGCTTACATTGTCCAGAAAACAAAACAAAGTACAAGGGTACAAAAGAAAAGACATGAAAGTTAAGACTTCTCAATATCAGTATCGGGCTGGATCTGAACTTCAGAGGTCTCCTGAAGAGATACCTCGGCTTCCTTATCTGCAGCAATCTCGGCGTCGATCTCAGCAAGGGTTTCATCAATGCTCTTGCCGATTTGAGGAACATCAGATGATGCTTGCCTAAGAGTGGTCTCCTTGATAACCTCCTCGTCCTCCTCATGAGTCATGTCTAGGACTTGATCCTCCTGAGGAGGTGACTTGGTCACACTGGTATCCTTGGGCTTCCTTACCAAAGTTTCATCATCATCCTTATCCTCATCCTTAGATTCAGACTCAGATTCATCTTCAGCATGGCTTGGAGGTGGAGGAAATGGAAGAAGAATATCGTCGGCTTTGCGCAGTGGCGAATCGTCAGGAATGTTAAGCTTCTTGGCAAGGGCCATCCAACCAAGAGAGAAGCCCCTGTTGCATGCCTACCTGACTTGAAGTTTATATTCCTCAGTAACGTCGGTCATGCCCTGGGCGTAAGCCTTCTCATCAGCTTCCTTGATTTCGGCTTTTTTGGTGACCAGAGCCTTCTGAAGCTCTTTTTCGGCTTAGGCCTTTTTTACCTCGGCCTCTTTTTTCTCAGCCTCGGCAACTTTTCTGATAACCTCAGCAGACTCCGTTTTTTCTTCGGCCATCTGTTGGGCCTTAGTGGCAGCCTCGGCCTGATCTTCCAGCTTCTTCATCTTAGTTAGAACAGTTTTGTTTTCCTTTTTCAAGGCAGAAACCTCCCGCCTCATATCAGCCAACTTCTCCCTTGTTTTAAAAGCTTGCATGGAGAGAGAATGGGCATGTTGAATGGCCTGAAAGAACCCAAGGGAAAAGTTATTACACAAACCTTGCAAGTATAGAAAAAGGGACAAAAAGACAAGTTACCAAATGGGGGAACTTACTTGTACAGAGCGTTGGAGCATGAGGGCGTAGTTCTCGTACTCGCTCATCTTGGCATTTCGCTCAAGATCACCAGGAAGGAGAACAGCAGTACTGAGTGCCACGCCGACGTTTATGTCTTCGGCACTGTCAGAAGCTAGAACAGGCTTATCCTCCAGGGTGATTTCAAGCACCTAGGGGACTCTTGGTACTTTGGAACCCGAGGTCGTCGCAGACGATAACCTCGGCTTCTTCGATTGAGTGGACTCTGACGGCTGGGCCTCAGCAAACCTCTTGGCAGAAGCAGAAGCACTCTTTCTACTCTCAGCCAATTGTGAGGTGGGCAGAGCATCCTCAGCCTCAACCTCAGTAGCTTTAGCCTTGGGCTGAGCCTTTTTGATCCTTTTTGGCTTTGGTGGGGGCATGGATTGAGCTGGAACAGCATCAACGTCGGCAGGTAGGTCGGCTAAGAGATCTACAGCAACAGGCTTCGGGCGACCCATCTCAGCAGTTTTGACAAGTCGTCGCCGACGTTTTCTTTCTGGTATTGGGATTAAGTATGGGGCCAAGGTAGATGGTAGATGGTTGATTGGTTGGATCAGATGTTGACTCCTGATCTGTTCGTTATGTAGAGGCAGTTTGAGTTGAGGCAGTAGGAGGACAAAGGCTTTTCTTCTTTCGTTTGGGAACGTCGGGCAGTGTAGACTTGTACGTCGGAATGAAATTCAGCACCAGTGGAGCCTTGTGCTTTTGGATTGGAAGATCTAGGACCCTCTTTAAGTCTCTGCTGGGGACGTAGGATTGGCGAAAGTTTTTTGGTAACTTACGAACGTTTGCAAGAAGAAACAAACATTAGAAACAAGATAAAATATTGAAGACTTGAACAGAAATAACTAAAGTATTGATACTGGGCTCTTACCCTTACCCTCTTTAATTGATCGGGGAAAAGGGTAGAGATGGGCGTCCTCGTCTGCGCCAAACTCCCAATTTCCCGAAGCAATAACGTAGTCATCTCCAGCCCCCTTGTTGGAGTCTGGGAGGTCAGCTACGATTTTGTATTCTGTCGACCTCGGCTTAAGATAATAAACGAAGCCTTTTTCCTTCAAGCTAAGGGGGCACATGGTATAACAGTACTGAATGTCGGCCAGGGTGATCCTAGCGTTCTCTTGCCTAGCTAAAGCTATGATGCCATTGATCACTCGATAAGAGTTTATGGCAAGTTGCATAGGGTTCAACTTGTAAAAGTGAAGAATTTCGCGAAAGAGAATGTTAAGTGGGAGCCGGAGTCCGCACTCAGTAAAAGCTACTATAGGAAAGGGCATTAAATCATCTGTGGGCATGATAGAGTCATTTTCTTCAGCTGGCCTCAGGTGGACATCGGCAGGAATAGAAAACTCTTGCCTAAAGTACTCAAGTTTGGTCGGGGTGTCTACCCTATGTCTCCACATACCCATAACGTCGGCCTAAAGACAGTGGGCTAGGTTTCAAAAAGAATGTGCTCTTACGGGATTATCGGGACCTCGGCGAAACCCTAGGTATATACTGGTAAGGATTGTTTCAGCTTTTTCCTAAGAATTGACAGATTCTATAGACAAATCCCAAATCTAAAACTATGGGGGTAAAGATTGAAAGAGGGCAGAGATCTGGCAAAGACACAAAAAACAGAAAACAAAGGCGAAATTTCAGAAACAAGAACAGGGATGGGCTATCAAGAACATGAAGAATACAGAAGTAAAAGGTCAAGAACAGTGGCAAGAAAGTGTTGAAACAATGCAAGTGTTCAAAATATGAACGAAATCATGGAATAGAATCATGGCAGTAAGTAAACAAAAGCACATAGAAGAAATTGGGAAAGAGAGGAAAGAGGCTTACCAGAACAAATAAAGCCGGGATGAAAGTCGCCGAAGTAAGGCAACGGTTGCAGACACGACGAAACGGCGAAACCCTCGCTGAAGTGGAAGAATGAGGACGGTTGCAGAGCTTGAAGCTAGAACAATGGCGGATTTGGGAAAAGTTTCAGAGAGAGAGAAAACTAGAAAATCAAGCGCAAAAGTAAAGAAATGAAGAAGAGAGTAAAGTTTTATCAAAAACTTGAAACGGCGGCAAAGCACGGCATTTATTGCTCCTGGAGGAACGCGTGCGTCAGACGGCGCAGACGGATGAAAGACGGCTTACAAGCGCGTCACAGACACGGACCAATGAAGATAGAACACATAGGGGGAACGGTTGAGAAGAGGTGCACGACAGCTCATGTGTGTGGAGGAGTTCATTTGGGTTCTTGTTCTCTGATGAAGGCATGTCGGCCTAAAATGAATGATCTCGGCCGAAGAGTTCTCACGCTGAGGTATTGGAAGAAAATACAGGTATAGGTTCCATCACCTCAAAATGCCGAGGTAATAGAACCTAGGGGGCAGTTGTGGGGATGTATTTTCTGTATACCAACACGTGGTGTCAGCCGAGGTGCCACGTGTCGTGGTAGTTATGCCGAGGTTATCTCCAAAGATATCGGAATCCGAGATAAGCGGATAAGGGACAGGAGTCCTAGAGAAAAGAGAAGACTTTACTAAAGATAAGGATAAAGCTCTTAGGGAGTTTATCTTTATCTCTTGAAGAGTCCAAAGTCAGTATTGAATTGGAGTCCATAGAAGTCAAGCTTCTAGTAGGACTTGGATTGAGTAAACTATAAAAGAAAGGCACCCCCGTTGGTCTAAGGTACACAGTTTTATACTCAATCTTCTGAGTTTAGCACTTGATTATCTTTGAGAGATATACTGACTTGATCGTCGGAGTGCCCCCGGGTGGAAGAGCCACCGCCCGAGCCTTTTCTTTCTGTTACAGGTTTGCTGAAGCCATCTATTCTACCGGTGCTCTCCAGCTGATTACTAGGCGGGCAGTGTGGTCAGAAAATTACCCACACAGTTTTTTGATTCACAAATTTGGCAAACGTAATGGATATAATACAATTTATTTTACGGCTGATTATAATTTTTTTATTTTAAAATTTATGTTAGAGAGTTTATTGCAACTATTATTTACAATTTATAAAATATGGATAAATTGAAAAAATTGAAAAAAATGGACAATTTAAAAGTTGAGGGAATGATATTTGTAATTTCTGTTTACAATTTTTTAGCAAAATTCATAATAACATAGTAACTACTAAACTTATAGTTTCTTACCCAAAAAAAAAAAAACACAAGCAAATATATATATAAAAAAATTATTATTATGAAAGTACTTACTTATAATTAGAATTTATATTTTCTCATTTTTTCCTTGCAAATTTTTTTATCTTTAATCAAATTCATACAATATTTTTTTTGTCTTTCACTTCACTTTTCACCATTTTCATTTTCCACCACTTATTTGATTCTCATCAAACAAATTATATGACAGGCTAATAAAATTCAGGCCTTGTTGGGCATGATCTAAAATAGTCAAAAAGTCACTATCTTATTTAAATCATATCATCTTATTTAAGTCACATCACCTCTCTAACACATCACTTTAAACCCAATCCATACTCAACCCATATTTCATAAAAAGTCAAAAAGTACACTTATTTAGATCATCTCAAACCAACCCTAAAGCTAAGGACTCAAAAAAAAATTGCCACGAAAACTGTCCAGAACACAAGTGTATGGTTGAGATTTGATTTATTGTTTTGTGAGATTCATGACTTAGGTCTCATTTGGGAATAAACTATTTACTAACTTTTTAATTTTTTGACTAAAATATGAGGTAAAAAATACTAGTATGTTTGGGGTGACTTTTTGACTTTTTACGAAAAGATATGCAAAAAATAGAGAGAAAATAGAATCTTTGACTTTGTGAAATTGGTTATAAGCTTTTTGACTTTTTTGATAACTTTTTGACTTTTTGACTAAAATATTAACTTGTCAAACGAGACCTTAGATAAATCTCAACCACACAATGATATTTCTAAATAAATTTTTAAATTTGTAACATTATTGATAAAGTTTTTATTTTCCCTCCGCTGACACACGTGGCAAGCCATGCAGCTCTGTCTCCCCAAGCTTACTGGCACTCGGTGTTGCCAAACACTCCCATGCCCCAGGCTGTCAAGAATCTTCTACCACAGGGTTCCTCTCCTCTTCCCTACAATTTTGAGTTAATACTAATCATGATTTTGAGATATAAATCTTATCTTCCATTTATCTTCATGAATTTCAGAATTCAACTGATAATAAGCGGCGGTTTGACAATTAAAAATTTTAATTAAAAAGTCAAAAAATTTATAAAAAAAAAATTTCAATTCATACAAAAAAATTTAAAGAAATACTTCACCTTACCTTTTACACATTTTTTTCATAAAAAGTAAAAAAAGCCATTTCTCAAACGATCTCAAAATTTTAGTTAAAATCCTTTCCATTCACCTTACCTTACCTTTCACCTTTCACCTTTCACTTCATATTATTTTAATTAAAAAGTCAAAAAATTACTTAAAAAGTCATTTTTCAAACGATCCCAAAATTTAACTCAAGTGAAAAGATTGTCACATGTTAAGTTACATGTCAATTTTTTATTTCTTACAAATTTAATTATATAAAAACTCAACTGTTTTACTATATTATTGTGGAAAAATTAAAAATTTTAAATTGAAAGTCTGTTGTAGCAGTTAAAAAAAAAACAACAACAACAAATGATGAATTCATCAATTTGACTTTTGAGTATATGGATCTTGAATTTGTATATATTTTTTGAAAAAACTTTTGCAGAAGCCAACTTGCGCAGAAGTGATAAGGATGTTGTAGGGCATATTGATTTTGCTAGTGAGGAGGATCATCATATATTATAACTCAAACACTCAAATATCTTTTAGTATTTAGATTCTTTTTTTATAATCATTTTTCCTTTATTATTGTCTCCAATTCATATTTGTAGGCTTAGCAATTCAATTGGGTTCGTGAAATCCACCATGTGTATTACTCTGATAATTTGATCCGTTTAATTTTGAATTAATACTAATCATGCTTATTGAGACATGATTTTGAGATATAAATCCTATCTTCCATATGTCTTCATGAATTTCAGATTTCAACTGATAATAAGGATTCGTTTGACAATTAAAAATTTTAGTTAAAAATTTTAAAAATTTCAAAAATTTCAATTCATATAAAAAATAAAAAAAACTCACCTTACTTTTTACACAATTTTTTCTTAAAAGTTAAAAAAAATAATAAAAAAATAAAAAAAGAAGTCATTCCTTAATATATTAGTTTTTTCACCTCATATTTTAGTTAAAATGTCAAAAAATAACTTAAAAAGTCATTTTTCAAACGATTCCAAAATTTTAACTCAAGTAAAAAGATTGTCACATGTCAATTTTTTATTTCCACAAACTTAATTATATAAAACTCAATTTTCTTACTATATCATTGTGAAAAAAAAATAAAAATAAATAAATTGAAAGTCTCTAGCAATTTAAAAAAAAAAAAACCAACATATGATGAATTCATCAATTTGACTTTTGAGTATATATATATTTGAAAAAACTTTTGCAGAAGCCAACGTGCACCTTATTTTGTTAATGAGGATCATCAACTATATTATCAAACACTCAAATATCTTTAAGTATTTACTTATTTTTTCTGAAAAACCATTTTCCTTTTATTATTGTCTTCAATTCGTATTTGTAGGCTTGGCAGTTCAATTGGGTTCATGAAATCCATCACGTGTCTCACTCTAATAATTTGATCTATTTAATTTAGAGATTTTTATGTGTCATTCACGGGTTCATATTTGTAGTGACTTTTTTTTCATCATATTTGCCTTCAAAGAAATAGATAATAAGTATAATTTTACAAATAGATTGTCAATTTTTGTAAGGCAAATATGACGAAATAATATGACTATGACTACTAAAGCAACATATATATTTATTTGTTAAGGGGGAATAATTGAAAAGTTTTAGTAGGAACAAGGGTTTACCAATGTTAAAAGTATGTATTATTGATTGATGTGTATATATTACAAGATTGATGTATATATTGATATTTTGTTAACTTTTTGATGCACTAAGAAGTTCTATTCACTTTTAATTACTGAAACAAACTCCTACTTTTTTTTATTTTTTTAGCAACATTTTGTATAAAAAGTGTCACTAATTGTTAATTTTTAATAAGAGTTTAAAAATTTTATTGCGAAACCTCACTAGTTAACATTTTTTAGCGACAGATTTAGAAAAACATCACTAATTATTAGTTTTCAGGGTTTTTGATCTATACAACTACTTATGGAACTTAATAGTGCACAAGTCCTTGTAACAGGACCTGTAAGTAATTAATCTTATTTTTTAATGATCTATATAGAATGACCTACAAATAAAATGATTGGATCATCTGACCTAATCAGACTATTCACAAATGTGGACTAGGGACAATTTCCTTGCTTTTTAACTAATCATGAAATTTCAAGCCTTGTTGAGCTTTCCCTTAGTAAGGTGTGGACATTGAGTTTTTAAGTTTGCCATTCTCCCCAACTGGATTAACAATGTTTCAAAGAAACTAAAGATCCAAGAAGGGTTTTATTACTTTTAGAAGTCCTCACTCGGTTATAGATCTCAATGATAAACACTATTATTCGAAGATAATTTTTATTTAGTCTAGATGGAAATTTGTTAGTCTAACCATATGGATAGTTTTTATTTAACATAATTCTTATTTGATAATTAATCTAAAAATAGATGTAAAACATTTGATAATTAAACTAAAAATAGATGTAAAACATGTAAATACAAGATATAAATCAAGAAATAACAAATCGAAAGTGATAAAACTATTTACTACATGAGAAGACAACAACAACAACAACAACAACAACAACAACAAAAAAAAATTAAAGAAAAATAAGATAAAAGAGCCAATATGATAAAAGTCATTAGTCTAATAACATCATAAAAAGAAGCAAGTCAAAACTAGCTAAAAACGTACTAGTTTCATGGTAGTATGCTACAACATAAAGATAGTATCACATACTATAAGAGAAAATTCTAACATATAAGTTTACAGTTTTTATTTATTTATTTATTTTTATTTTTTTAAAAAAAAAACTCTCCTACTAATACAGTTAAAAAGGGTGAAAAGGATGAACACAAACACTCAAACATCTTTATATAAAACCAAAATTTTAACTCAAATAAATAATAAGATTATCACATGTCAAGTTACGTGCCAATCTTTGATTTCTCACTAACTTAATTATACAAAACCCAACTTTCTTATGTGTGAAAATTAAAATTTTGAATTGAGAGTCTCTAGCAATTCAAAGAAAAATACAAATGATGAGTTCATCAATTTGACTTTTGAGTATATGGATCTTGAATTTATATGTTTTATTTGTTTTTTGTTTTTTTCTTTTTATTGAAAAAACTTTTGCAAAAGCCAACGTGCGTAGAGGGGATAAGGATGCAAGAGCGATTCTTTACAACGTGGGCAGAGGGGATAAAGATGCAAGAGCGATTCTTTACAACGTGGGCAGAGGGGATAAAGATGCAAGAGCGATTCTTTATTTTGCTGGTGAGCATCATCAACTACATTATAAATAAAACACTCAAATATCTTTTAATTTATTTTTTTACACTATTATTGTCTAAAATTCATATTTGTAGACTCAACAGTTCAATTGGGTTTATGAAATCCACCACTTGTCTCATTTTGATAATTTGATCTGTTTAATTTCTAAGTTTAGGTTGTTCATTGAAAAAAAAAATGATTAGACAAATGTAGTGACTTTATTTAGTTAAAATTTTATTTCAAAATAACTTTCGAAATATTAAATTTATCATTCAAAATATTGAAACCATACCTTTAAAATGAGTGTAATATTAAATATATTTAACAAAAAAATTAAAAATTAAACATTTATTAATGAACAAAAAATTATATAATTTGTTAGTTACTAGTTGGAGAGTCTGAATTCATCACCACCATTCTGAAGATTTGTTAATTTTAATGAACAAACATTAATTAACTTTGTTAATTTACATAATTTTGAATAGTAAATTTTGGAAGGAAATATTTAGAGAAAAAAATAAAATACTATATATGAAAAAATACTATATATATTCAATTTTTGAATTGTAAAATACTATATATTCAATTTTTGAATAAAAAAGTGGGGATTTTTTTTTTTAAGGTCCCTGGTATTAAGATTTTATAACATAAAGGACACCCAATATTTTCATAATGTCTAAGGTCTCTCAACATCGATCTAGAAAAAATTCGATCCAAAGAACTCTGGATCGAATTTTCTCTGGACTTCATAGAGAAATTCTGGTTTACAGAGAATTTCTCTAATTGAACTTTCTCTGGATCCTTTCACAAAGAATTTTCACAAAGAAATTCTGATTTGAATTCTCTAGATTATGGATCTAGAGAATTTTCTCTGGTCGAAAAAATTGTTTACTTCTGTACAATCCTTTCTCTGTGAAAATCAGAGAAAATTGAAACCAGAGAAAATTCAAGGGTAATCTAGAGAAAATTTAAGAGTAATCCAGAGAAAATTGCCAAATTTAAAGAAAATTCAAAGGCAATCAAGAGAAAAGTGCCAAATCCAAAGAAAAGTGGCCAAATCCAAAAGAATTCTGGGAATCCAAAGAAATTCAACACTGTCAACACAAAATTTCTCTGGTTTGTAGGAAACATTGTATTCAACACTATCAACACATTTCTCTAGATTCAGAGAAATTTTGAACGTAAAGACGTTGTATTCAACATTGGATATATATATACGCTGACATTGTATATATATATATATATGTAGAGAAAGCATTGTATACAATTTCTCTGTCAGCACATTTTTCTGGATTCACAGAAAATTTCTCTATCAGTTCTATCTCCTCATTGTTGATAAATTCAACACTGTCAAAAGAAATTCAAGGGTTCTCTGTATGTGTATATATATATATGTATGTATCATATATATATATATATATATATATACATTGTTATTCTCAACATAATCTAACAGAAGTATTTGGAGAAGTTTTCCATTTATGTTTTGTAATTATATTAACCTTTTTGTAATAGTTGTCTAAATATTCAAAGAAAAGAATTTCCATACTATATTCAATCATAAAATCTTACCAATTTCTGCTCTTAAGATTAGATTGTTTCAAACCAAAGTCAGATTTTTAGGTTGTGATATTCACCAGAATACTATTTTACCTATTAGTCGTTTCATTGAATTTGCGTCTAAATTCCCTGGTGAAATCTTAGATAAAACTCAGCTACAACGGTTTTTAGGATCGTTGAATTATATTGCTGAATTTTACAAAGACCTTAGGAAAACTTTTCAACCCCTGTTTGATCGGTTAAAAGACAATCCTCCTCCTTGGTCTTCTACTCATACTACTATTGTTAAACAGGTTAAACAATATGTCAAGTCTCTTCCTTGTCTTGGTATTCCTACTGAAAATTCATTCAAAATTATCCAAACCGATGCCTCTGATATCGGTTATGGCGGCATCCTTCTCCAGCAAATTACTCCTCAGTCATCTGAACAAATTGTTCGTTATCATTCTAATAAAGCACAAAAGAATTATAGTACTATTAAAAAAGAAATTTTATCTACTGTTTTATGTATCAGTAAATTTCAAGATGATATTTTAAACAACAATTTTTACTTCGTGTTGATTGCAAATCTGCTAAATATGTTTTAGAAAAAGATGTTCAAAATCTTGCTAGTAAGCAAATTTTTGCCCGTTGGCAATCTATTTTAAGTATTTTCGATTTTACTATTGAATATATACCTAGTTGTCAAAATTCCATTCCTGATTTCCTTACTCAGAAATTTTTACAGGGGGGATAGGGATGGCCACTCCATTTATTGCTTACGACAAAACCCAAATTATCCATTACCGTGATCTGATTCACCAAACTGCTTATCGCATTGCCCAGTTAAAATTAGCCAGAAAAACTACTAAACGTGCTCAATACATTCAGTATCACCAAATTCAAGCTCGTCGTCATTTACTTGCTGATTATTACAACCGTTTGGATTTTCATCATACTTATTTAGATCTCCTTAGTGGTTGCTAATTTTTATTGCTAACCTTTATTTCTTTTCAAACAGATGTCTCGCCCAAGGCCCCCTTCTAAAGCCTTGGTCCCAACTAGTCAACCCTTTATTCCTCCTTTAGAGTTAGTCACCCAATACCATCCTATTGAAATGATTAACCGTTACCAAGTTCTTGGTAATATTCCTCAACCTAGTTTCACATCTGCTTTGGCCACTGATCATTTTGCTTCATCCAGCCAAGCAGTTACTCCATACCCTCCTAATCCTATTAAAACTGCTCGATCTGATTATGTTGACTCAACAACTACTAATCTCTTTTTCAAAGAACCTAGTCACCCAAAGAGTCAATCTGTTAATGATCTAGTTAAAACTTATTTCCCTCATGGATGGCATTTTGTTCCTCTCCATCCAGAGAAAACAATCACCTTCTATAAAGACATCCTGCTCAACCATCAGTCAATTGTGATTAAACTCATTTATGATCGTACTTACACTAGTAAAGTGGTTTACCATTCACTTTATATTCACAATTTTGTTTCCTTAGTTGAATGGGGTTTTCCTTGTCAACTTCGTGATTTACCTAATCACTCCTTTCAGTATAATTATTATGATTATATTGATGCAAAGTCCTCCTATATCAAAATGAAACATTTAGTCACTCCTGGTTTCTTCAATTTGATCAAAAGTTTAAGTCAGAATTACCTATTTGGTTTCTGAGATGGTGGACCCATTATGGTGCCATTCCAGACATCTTCTCATCAGTAATTTTGGATCAAGTCAATTACTTCTCCACTGTTTTCTCATTTACTCCACAGCAAAGAAAATTCCCTCAATTGCTTATTTTTATATCCAAATATAAAATCCTTTGGATATTCAACTGGCAATATGGTATTTCTGGTAAAGTGATTCAGCGGCTACATAAGAATTGTAATAAAAAATTGTTTAATGGAGTGAAATAAACAATTCTTCAAAATACATAACTTGAAAATGAACTTGAAAAGAAAATTACAGAGATAGGTTTTTCTCTTGAGGAAGGAATGCTCTCAATTTTTTCTAACTCTGCCTTATTCTTAACTAAAGAGGCCCTTTTATAATCAAAAGAGACCACTGTTAGCCTTGTGAGTGAATACTATAAGCCTTGTGAGTGAATAGTCTTGACTTGAAAGGAGCATCAGAAGCACATGGGAGTTGTCTACTACTTTCGGTGAGTGACTAAAACTTTTACTGGGCTGAATTTGTCGGTGGGATGAATCATGATGAATGATGAATAGTAATGTTGACTTTTTGATGAATAGTGAACAGTAAAGTTGACTTTTTTTACTATTCATTGCTTGGAGGCATGCGACTGGAATCAATATAGATATATATACCAGCAACTTTTCTCAAAAGACGAGTATTGATTGAAGCTGATAATTATAGCTATATAGAATCCAATGACTGAATTAAGCATATGGGTCCTGAGCATCTTGGAACTCGGGTCCATAAGGATCTTGAGTAGTTGAACCTTCAGAAGAGTTCCACAGTATTCATTTCCCCCGGGCTAGGGCTTTCAATGACCATAAGCCACGTTTATGTTCCCTGGGCGAGGGCTTCCCGCTAAAGGATACACCAATTATGTTTCCAGGAAAAATTTGGACCAAATCATTCGTACAAAACATAGCATTCCAGAGGTACTTGTCATTTCATATCATTAACAAATATTTAAAGTTAAACATTAGCTTTACGGAGTTCTTATTCACCGTCTGATTAAACTTGCATTATACAATATACAAAAGATTCTACAAATATGCATATACTAGAGAGCCATATGTAACCAAACAGTTTGCAATGCAGTACAGCACAAACTTATAGCACATAATGCCCAAATCAAAAACTTAAGCATATTCGATGCTTTTCGAAATTCATACTTATCACATGAATGCATCCTAGATACTTTTCTAGGCGCTTATTGCTCTTTGGACAAGTGCGTGAGTTATTAACTCGTTGCTCTGATACCACTCTGTCACGACCCGAAACCCGTATCCCCATGGGTTAGGGACTCGTAACCGGCAGTAATCCTAAGCATTACCTACGGCCTCAAACCAAACCAAGCGTATTTTAACAGAGTTAAATTGGGGGCCAAACGGAAGCAATTTAAAACTTTTGTCACATAGAGCTGTGCTTACATGGCACATCAAACAAACCATAACATATGTACGTTAATAACTCACAAAGAAACATAGTGATATAGGTTCTGTACAGACAGGATCATCCAAAACTAAGTCAACCCAATAAAAACTATAAGCAGACATATACAAAATTCGCCAACCTTGACAAAATGCAATACACACAAAAAGGCGAAGGCGGGTCTCCATGCGTGAGACACAAGGGCTGACTCTCTCCAAAAACCTTAGTGGTTCCATACGACTTCTCTGAGGTGGGTCTGGACTTCTCTTGGCCACCTACAACACATGAAATGAGCGTGAGCGAACAGCCCAGTGAATAATACTCACATCAA